TCTCATAGAGAGCGCCTGCGGGCTGCTGCTCGCGCAGCGCCACCTCGAACGCGAACTTTGCGTCCGCGACGAGCTGCGGCGCGTGCGGCGCCTCGCCGTGCGCCTCTGCGTCCGCCTCGCGCAGCGTCAGCGCGACGCCGCGCCGCGCGCCGAGCAGCCGCGCGCGCGTCAGCCAATGCGACGGCCAGCACTGCGGCAGCAGCAGCTCCTGCCCATCGGCGCCGCGCCAGGGCTGCTGCTTGAGCTTTGGGTCGGCGCGCCATTGCGGCGGCTTGGGGAGGCACTGCCGGTACCACAGTAGCAAACGCGCGTCGAGCTGTTGCGTGGACAGCGAGTCCGGGTCGCACGAGAAGGCGTTCGGGTCAGCGTACGGGCCCTCCATCGCAGCGAGTTCGTAGTGCATCTCAGCGCCCATGCTCGGCGGCCTGTGATCGCCGCCGTACGTCTGCAGGAGCCGCCGCACCTCGCGGACGATGCTCCTGTTGAAGGCGATGGTGATGTTGTCCTTCTCGACCGCCTCCGTTGCCTCCCCCTCGCCCAGCGGCTTGTCCGCCGTCTGGTACGCGTCCTTCGTCTCGACGGTGCCTCCGTCGGCCGCGTCGAGAACGCCCAGCAAGGCATCAGTGGCGATGGATAGCGTGCGCTCCGACGCCTCGCGAGCCGCCTCCCCCTCCCCCTCCTCCTCGCCGTCCTCCAGGTCGTCGAACAGCCGTGCAGCGGTCTTTCCTGCCTGCGCTCGCCGCACCGCATTCAGCTCCTCCTCCGCCGCCGCGCCCTCCGAGGCCTCCGCCGCCGCCGCCGCGGCGGCGGCGGGCGACGGCGTCGCGGTGGCGGCGGCGGCAGCCGCGGCCTTTTCCTCCGCCCGCTTCGCCGCCTCCCGCAGCCTCTTGTGACGCCTGCGTCGCGTGGCTTCGGCTCGCGAGCGGTTCTTGGGGTCGGGGTCAAACTCGACGCGGTCGATGACCCAGTGGTGACGCGCGTATGCCTCGCCGAGCGCGCGCACCACCCTCGCCCACAGCTCGCACTCCGCCTTGATGTCGCCCTGGAAGTGTGGCACCCTGTGCCACGGCCGCTCCGGGTTGTCCTTCTCGAGCTCCCGGTCGTAATCCTCGTGGCGCGCGGCAAGGACGGCGCGCCAGCGCTGCTCCGTCTGCGCAGGCCGGGGCCGCTCGACCATGAGCGCGTCCATCTCGACGTCCGCGTTCTCCTTCTCGCCGCCGCCGCCGGCGAGCGGCTTGCGCCGGCGCCGGCGGCCGGACGCCGCCGCCGGCGCAGGTGCGGGCGGAGTCGCGCGCCCCGTCTCGTTGTCGGGCGACTCCTCGCCGCCGGCGGCGTCGGGTGCGGCGACGTCGGCCTGCGAGTCGCGAGGGCGGCCTGCACCGGCGGCGGTCCGCAACGTCTCGCGGCGCGCCGCCAGCCACGCCGTGAACTCATGGGCGATGTCGCTGTCGTCGGGCGGCTGGTACAAGCTCGGCTGGATGTGGTCCATGAAGGCCTCCATCTCGGCCGCGGTCACGTCGTCGGGCGCGTCGACGGGCTGCAAGGCCGTGGACCGCACGGCGGGGCGGCTGCGCCAGGACTGGCGCGTCGCTGACGACGAGCCGAAGCAAAAAGAGCTGGACGACGGCAAGCCCGGCTGCATTCTCGCACCGGGACGGCGATCCTGGTCGAGCATGAGACGCCGCCTGCTTTTGGATGTTTTCTTTCTTGATTCCGTTTGTTGCAAACGGAATCAGTTGCAAAACCCTGAATAAAAAACAAAACGCGAAAATCCCCTTTGCAGCCAAGCCTACCGGGCACCTAATTCGCCCGGGAATTTCTTTTTCTGGCGCACGATCGGCGCGTGGACTGCATGGAACAGTGCCTCGCCTACCTGCGCACGCTGACTTCAGAGAGTCTGGCTGAGGCCCCGCACGCGGAGCTGCTGGCGGTGGGTTCCGTTCTGTTCCGGTCGCATGTGCTGCGCGAGGCGTTTGGGACCGACGACGTGCTCGAGCACCTCAAGAGCCAGTCCGAGTACAAGGAGCTGCTGCGGAAGCTCGAGAAGCTTAGCAAGAAGATCAACGACGTCCACGAGGGGCACGTGCGAAAGGCCAAATTTGCCGGCATCAACACGCAGCGATCCCAGTCGTGGATGGCCATTCAGGCAGGTGAGCCGGCGACAGCGCTGCTCGATACGCCAGGGAGCACTCCCGCCGCGCTGCCAGCGGCGCCACCCGCAACCGCACCCTCCGACGCGCCCGTGGCCGCCCGTGCGCCGTTGCCTGCGGCTGCGGCTGCTCCCGCGCCGCAAGTCGACATCGACGCTGTGCGCCGCGCCGCCTCGCTCCCTCCCGGCTCCTTCCAGCAGAGCTGCAACATCTGCGGGAGCGCGCTCGCCGGAGGCCACCACTTTTACCACCAGCTCTGCGTCGGGTGCGGGGACCTCAACTTTGCAAAGCGGAACGCGCTTGCGCCGATGAGCGGGAAGGTGGCGGTGGTGACCGGAGGCCGCGTGCGGATCGGTGCGCAGTGCGGCGCCGCTCCCTGGCGGGCGGGGCCCAGTCCCCTCAGCCCAGTGGCGTTCCGACGTAGGCTTCCACATCGTCCTCAAGCTCCTGCGGTGCGGCTGCCACGTGCTCACGACCACGCGATACCCGGCGGACGCGGCGGCGCGGTACGGTCGCGAGCCCGACTTTGAGGAGTGGAGGGGGCGGCTCGAGGTGGTCGGGCCGCTCGACTTGTGCGACCTCGGCGTGACGGAGCGCTTCTGCGACGCGCTGCACGCCCGCTTCGAGCGGATCGACGTGTTGATCAACAACGCGGCGCAGACGCTAACGCGCGCGCCCGAGTGGTTCGAGGCGATGGACCGTCTCGAGGAAGGCGCGGCGCGGGACTTGCCGCCCGCCTCGCGCCAGCTGCTGCTAGAGTCCGCCTCCTCCGCGCCGGGCAAGCTGCTGACGGCGGCTTCTTCGGCAGAGGCGCGCGGGGAGGGCCGCGATGCCGCCGCCGAGGGAGGCAATGCCCCCGACCAGGAGGGTCCACTCGGCGAGGGGTGCGGGTTGGTGAGCGCGGGCAGGGACGGCGGGCGCGCCAGACAGCTCGCGTCGAGCCGGCTGGCGTCTGTCGGGAGCGTGCACGCGAGTGGCGGCGGCTTGGGGCAGCACTTCCCGCCCGACCGGCTGGACGAGTCGATGCAGCCGCTCGACCTCTCCCCCATCAACTCGTGGTCGCGCAAGCTCGGCCAGATCGGGACGTCGGAGATGCTGCACACGGTCGCCGCAAATGCCGTCGCGCCCTTCATCCTCTGCTCGCGGCTGCGCGGGCTGCTCGCTCCGCCCGACGCCGCCTCGGGGTGGGGGCACATCGTCAACGTGAACGCGCTCGAGGGCAAATTCTCAGTGACAAAGAAGCAGTCGTCGCACCCGCACACCAACATGGCCAAGGCGGCGCTCAACATGCTGACCTGCACGGCCGCCATCGACTTGGCGCAGGCGCGCGTGCTCATCAACTCGGTCGACACCGGCTGGGTGACGGACATGGCGCCGGGCGGTGTCGGCGTGCTCGCTTCCATCCACGAGACGCAGGTGGCGCCGCCGCTCGACGAGGTGGACGGCGCGGCGCGCGTGCTCGACCCCGTCTTCTCGCACATCAACGACCCCACGGGGTGGCGCCAGCGCGGCAAGCTGTGGAAGGACTACCGGATAGTGAGATGGTAGAGCCGCCGGAGGGTTGGCAGAGGGGTGAAGAACATACAACCGCGATTGTAATGTATCTCACGCTCGCAGGCATGCGCTCACAGACACAGCACACACCGGTCACCGCGGTCACCGGGCCGCGCGGGCCGGTGTGTCACCGCTCTCGCCCCCCCACGCGCACTCTGGGCCAAAATGCCCGAAGGCAGGATGATGCAAAGACAGCATTAAGACTGTGTCCTGTTCTTTTTTGAAAATCCGGTGCGCGTCGTCGTGGCCGGAAAAAGAAAAAGGGGGATGTGTCCAGCACTATGTCAAAACTACAGGGGTAGGCAATGAAACGGAGCTTTGCGCCCTTTCCCGCCCGCCTGGGGGGCACCCAGGCCGGCCACCTGATCGGTAGTGGTGGACGGGAGGCGCGAACAGCGCCATCTTGGGGTCTACACGCCGACCAGTGCTCCCGTCAGTGACCAGGAAGAGGGGATGAGTGGAATTCTCAGCCGCCGGCCGCGCGTCCGTGTGGTCTACAGTTAACGAACCAAAAGCCCTGCTTCCGTTTTAACACAAATTGGGTGGCGAACTCGGCGCCCATAGCTCTGGCTCGAGTTTTTGCGATTATGTCGCGAAACGCATAAGCCGCCCCAGCGAAATGGCCGATACGGCCGGAATCGAGTCAGCGCCGGGGCGGCTAATGCGTTCTCCGAGGTCATGTTCGTGGGCGGAAAACGAACCGGCACCCCGGCGGGGCACCTTACGGGCTGTGTTAAAACGAGAGGCCAGAGCCTGTTCACGCGATGGCCAGCCGTGGTGAGTTGAAGGTCTCGGCGAGAAGTCGGGCAGGCCAGCAGAGCCCTTGGTCAATATTGGCTCTGACGCCGTGCCAGTTGTCGGCGCGCCGCGATCTGCATACCTGTTCGTGCCTCTACAGTAGTGCGGCCACGTGTATTGCTGTTCGGCGATTCGCGTTCCGCTCTCTCGCCCGTGAGACTGATTGGCGGGCGCCCGAAGCACCTGGCTTGCGCGTCGAGCGGTGAGCTCTCTACAGACACCGTCCGAGCCCGATGCACGCCAGGCGTCTCATTCCAAGCCCACTAAGCATTCCCACGCGCTCAGGCGCCGCTCGGACCCCATCCTCGAGCCGGTTACCTCACGACAACGCAACTCGGCGCTCTCGATGTGAGCGCTAGGCAGTCTCAACGCCGATTGCTGCCGAGCATGCACGACTCGTAGGCGTACCGGCGTGCCGCTGGCGTACTACGCGACGGTGGAGGCGCGTGGAATTGCTCAAAAGGCATGCATCTGTCGGAGAGCGTGCCGCAAGACCTGATGTGCCTCCGCTCCAGGTGTGTGGCAGTTCGATGGATCCAGCCCAGCGACCTCTACGTGACGATTGAGGACTGCTCTTCCCCTTCGGCCGAGCCTCCAGTCCCTGCCACCGTGCACTGGCGCCAGCGAGCTGCACTCATATCCCGCACGCGCGATCGGCAGTCGAGTTATAACCCGCAGCTGTGCAGTGCGTGCGCACCACGAACCGTTGTTCGGCGATCTCTCGGCGACCACTTGTCGACTCGCGCTCGGACGCGAGGTACGTGCTCGCCCGGTCCCCCGGGAGAGGACCAGGCCATTTTTAGCGAGATCGAGACATCACTCTCATCGCCCGCCGCTCACGCTTCCCTCCCTCTCCCGCGCCGCCGTATCCGGTCCTAGCCTGCGATACATTGAGACCTCACGCCCTGCGACTGTCTCCCACGCTCGCAGGCGGGCCTATCCGCCGTGCCACTCCATGCATGATCATCGCTGGGGGCAGCGGTGCTCGTGCGACTGCGGATTCGGCCTCACCTCACGCCCTCTGGCCTGCAGCTGCACGTTGCCGGGCGCCATGCCTCCGTCGAATGGAGGCCCGACTCCAGGCTCTGAGCACGTCTAATCCTTACGATCCATGTGCCCTGCACATGGGAGGCTATCGTAGCTACGAGACTGGCGCCATAGACCTCGTGTGACATTGTGGGCGCCCTGCAGGGGTCGAAACCGCCGCCGTTGGTTCTCGAGGAATATATTAATCGGCGAAGGTAAGGTAAGGTAAACGTCTCCACACACACAAGGTGGTGGGGCAAGGGGGGGCGACCCTCGCATCTCCACGCCCGGACACGGGCAGGAGCCCCACGGCATTCAAAGTGCAAGCACCGGCCCGGTGGCGGTGCCGTCTGGGTGAGCAACCTGCACCCCAGCACTCCCTCCCTCCCATGGGACACAACCCGCACACATCACACAAGAACCCCCACAGCGTGGACGACTACGTGTTCAGAAACACCAAGCAGCGAGGCGAGGGTGAAGGGGTAAGGGGCTGTGAGGGGCAGAATCTTCATCCGGCTTATCTGTGACTACTCCATCTAGCCTGGGGGGTCGGAGGAGGGGGGGGCAGAAGGGGTAAGATATGGGTGAGGCCAGCTACAAGTCGGACACCTCCCGTCGTCGGAATACTCCTCGGAGCGGTCGGTGTCCTCGTCGTCGTCCTCGCGTCGGTCTGCATCGCCTCGCCGGCCGTGAACCTGAACACGGCGTCGGCCGGCGCCGAGGCGCCGGCGGCCGTCATCAGGTGCATGACCATGATAATCGGCGAGTTTTGCTGGTAGAGTTTGTTATTCTGCGGGGGCTCTGCGAGCTCCACACCACCCGTGTGATGACATATACATTCTTCAACGCGAGTGGCTCAACTATATTTATTTGGCGACGCGCGTCAATACAAGCCGTCAACGCGTGACGGCATCGCCACTGGCTGCGACGGTGTATCATTCACTTTATGCCACCGTTGCATATCCGGTTGCCTCTTATCACACGAAGTAGCTGCCTGGATTTCATTCGCTCGCCCATTGACTCATCTGTGTATGGCGGCTTCAAATCAACGTTTAGAGGAGCGAGGTCGGTTTCGCCCCGGGGGGCCAACAAAGAGCGACACCACGCGGCCCGGTGCCGTTCGGGCGCCGCTCATCGCTTCGCAGCGAGCCCGGGCTCTACAAACATCTCCGTCGCGAGCTGCGCACGCCCCGCGGGTCCGTGTGACTGTAGCTGTATCTCCCAAACATCTCCCGCAGCTCAAAGCGATCTCGGCCTAATCTCCACGGCTCGAGATTGCACGAGATAAACACGGCGCTCTCGAGGTGGGGCGCCAAGACCTGGATAGCGGAGCGCGTAGAACGCGCGCTGCCGATGTGCACAGAGCCCGGGATGGCCAGCATCCGCCCTCGTGGTCGCGAACGGCGCCGGTCGGCGCGTGCGGCTCTGGCAGCCGCCCGGCCGCGTCGGAGCTGCAGAGAGCGGCCCGCGGCTCGGTGCCGTTCGGGCGCCGCTCATCGCTTCGCAGCGAGCCCGGGCTCTACAAACATCTCCGTCGCGAGCTGCGCACGCCCCGCGGGTCCGTGTGACTGTAGCTGTATCTCCCAAACATCTCCCGCAGCTCAAAGCGATCTCGGCCTAATCTCCATGGCTCGAGATTGCACGAGATAAACACGGCGCTCTCGAGGTGGTTCGCCAAGATCTGGATAGCGGAGCGCGTAGAACGCGCGCTGCCGATGTGCACAGAGCCCGGGATGGCCAGCATCCGCCCTCGTGGTCGCGAACGGCGCCGGTCGACGCGTGCGGCTCTGCGTCAACCAGTACGGAGCCCGAAATGCGTCCAAAAGTAAAAAAATCAGCTTTCCGCGCCTCTTCACTGCTCGCCCGCCGCGCAGGCGTGTTCCGGGGGCCCAGTGGAGCATTTCATCTAGTGGCGGCACCAGCTCTAGAGAAATTTATAATTTCTCAGTGGGGTTTTGACATAGTGGTCCAGCACGTGCCAGTCCGCGCCTGTGTCGAGCCTAAAAAGAAAGAAAAGGGACACCCAAGGGAGGGATGGGAGGACGGCACGCCGCCACCACACAGGGATTTTAAGGAGAGGGGTGTGGTGCGCTAGCCGTCGACCACCCTTGGGCGTCCGCCTCTTAGGCTGTATATACTTTTCCTCTCGCACCCCGTCTCTTTTCCTTTCCTTTTTTCTCTACAGCACCCTCTCTTTTCCTCTCTATTTTCCCGGGGAAACCATCAAATTTTCCGGGCTCTGAGCCGAGTCTGAGGCTAGTTTGGGCCCAAAATCAGCCAAATCGGCAAAATACCGGGTATTTTGCGGGTATACCTGGAAAACCCCGGGTATCCCTGGAAAATACCCTGCGACCGCCTGGGTATCGTGCCGATTTCCTCAATTTTGCGTCAGATTTTGCCCCAGACCAGCTCTCAGACTCAGGGAAACTCGCGAGTTTCCAGAATGGAGCACCAAACACCCCCTGGAAATTTCCGGAAACGCAAAGTGCTGGGGACCCTCTGTTTTCCTTTTTGTTTTCCGGAAAAGTATATACAGGCCAATCCGCCTCTTCCTATCTCTCTTCGCAGTCTCTCGGTCTCGCCGATTCTCGCTGCAACCTTCATGCCACCTCGCGGTCGTCCCACTCTCGTCGTTCTTTCCTAAAAGAAAGAAAGAAAACAGGCAACCCAAGGGAGGGATGGGAGGACGGCACGCCGCCACCACACAGGGATTTTAAGGAGAGGTGTGTGATGCGCTAGCCGTCGCCCACCCTAGGGAGTCTGCCTCTTCCTATCTCTCTTCGCAGTCTCTCGCCGCTTCTCGCTGCAACCTTCATGCCACCTCGCGGTCGTCCCACTCTCGTCGTTCTCTCCCTTGTCACTTCCTCCTCTCGTTCTTTCCTGTGTGCCGGTGATAGTACTAGCACGCGCCAGTTCGCACCTGTGTCGAGCCTGTGTGCTGTGAGAGAGAGTTCCTTTGTTTAAATTCTTTCCTGTCTGCTGTGAGAAATCATCTGAGCTTGTTTGTACTCTCTCTGTTTGTATGGAGTGCCCGTCGCGGCCGCGCGGCTGTTGTTCGCGTGACACGAGTAGCAGCGCGTGTACGGCCGGCCTCGCGTGCGGCCCTCCTCCCTAGGCCAATCCAGCGCCCCGCTCCCCCACTGCGCTGGAGGGCCACGAATATGTGCGCACGGGGGGGAGGGCTGCCCGCCACTGCCGCCCTCCTCCTCGCCGCCGCACAGCTCGGCTGGCTCTACAGCCTCTTGCCCAGCCGGCCGCAGAACACGGCTCGCGCGACCCGCCCGCCCACTGCGACCTGCGACGCACCGCTCGTCGTCGTCGTCCCACTGCTCGGAGGGCGCGCGGCCGCCGAGGCTGCAATCGACGCCACGCTGGGAAGATGGCGCGCGGTGCCACCGTGCTCAGACAATCGAGCCGAGCCGACCCTCGCTGGCGCCGTGTTCGCATGGCCGGCGGGCGGCGAAGTGCCCTTGGCGCAGCTTGGGCGCGTGTTGGCGGAGCGGGCGGTCTCGCTGGAGCGGTGCCTTGGCAGGGTCGAGCTGCTCGGCCGGGTCGAGCTCCGCCGGCTAGCGAGCGTCAAGGGCAACGAGAGGAGCGGCTCGAGCGGCGTGAGGCTGCAAGAGCCGCGTGTGTGGCTGGCAGGCACCGCATGGGCGTCTTACCTCGAGTGGGATGGCGCGGGCGCCGCCGGCGATGAGCTGCTCTCCAACGGCGTCTTCATCGCGGCCGTCGAGCTTGCCTCCACCCGCCAGGCGCACCTTCCACACGACCCATTGCACCACCCCCTCTCGCGCTCCCCAGCGCTTCTCAGACTCTAAGTGCTCGCACCTGAGACAGCACAGGCACGCCTCTTGTGGCTTCCGGCTGCGGCGCGACCGCTGAGGCCGGGCTGGCTGCCGGCCCCTCCTCGCAGCTGCGGCGCCCACGTCGGCCTCAAGATCCAACTGTCGACGGTCGCCCTACACGTAGGCGCTCTCGTGTGAGGCCGAGCTCCTCCCTGCGGCATGGGTCGTGGGCTCTCCTCTGCTGATGGACTGCGACCGAGTCGGTGGCTGGTCACCAAGTCCCGCGAGAGGGGGCCCTTGCGCCGCTGGGAGCGCCGCTCGCGATGAGCGGTACCTGGGCCCGGCCGCCGTATACGCGGCGCAGAGCGACAGCTTTCGCACATACGTACTTGAGTGGCGCTCAAGCACGCTCTCCGGCACTCCCGTCCTGGTGGTGCCTCAGGGCCATCTCTCCCCTTCGCACTCGTGGCCCTCGGCTCTCTAGGCGAGCCATTCTCAAAGGCGCTCTCTCTCCTCTGGCGAGGGTACGCCGAGGCGCGCCGGCGCGACTTTTCGCGCCGCTTCGTCGCCACCGCAGCTATCGCCGACGTGGGCGCAGAGCGGCTGAGCTTGCGAGGCGGGCGGAGCCGTTTCGCCGACGCAGTGCTGCTGCACACAACCAACGCCTCGCGGCCTGCGGCAAGCTCTTTTGGCGTCGCCTGGCGCGCAGCCACCGGCATGGACGGCGGCAAGGGCGACGCGTCTGAGGGCGACACGGCAGAGACAGCCGTAGCAACGGCGGCGCTTGGGCCCTCCGGTCCACCCCTCTCTGCGGATGCGGCTGAGGAAGCGCTCGTCAGCTCCGCGCTGGCTCGCGCCAGCAGCGGGCGGCTTTTGCTCGGATTCGCCACCTCGGACATGTTCGACTTTGCTCTCAACTGGGCAGCCTCGCTGACCGATCTTGGCATGACCGGATGGCTGCTCGTCGCCCTCGACGCTTCGGTCTACGTGCAGCTTCAGCGGGCGACGAACGTCGTTGCTCGTGAGGCGTGCGCCTTCGAGCCCCCAGTTGGGCAGGTTGTGGTTGGGCGCGCTACTAATCGCCGATCCTCCTCTATCCTCGCGTCGGCAGCCTCTCCCGAGGGGCTTTCTCTCACTGCCCAGCGCCTCAGAGCGATTCAGCTGCTCCTCTCTCGTACACAACTCGCAGTTCTCGCGTGTGACGTCGACGCGGTGGCGCTGCGCAACCCGTGGCCGTCCATCGATCAGCTCTTGGCAGGCCGGCTCGACCCGCTGCAGCGCGCGGAGGAGCAGAGGCCGGCAGAGGCGCACGCGATTGGAGATGCGCGCTTGAGCCGCCCGTACGAGCTACTCCTCTTGAGTGAGTGGCCCGACGGGCGCAGCTTGTGCGGCGGAGGTGGCATGCGGGTGAATAGCTCCATCGACTTGTCGTTGTGGCCGTGCGC